TATCTATCTATCTATCTATCTATCTATCTATCTATCTATCTATCTATCTATCTATCTATCACCTACCTATCATCCACCCATTCATTCATCTATAACTATTTATCTATCTATCTATCTATCTATCTATATATCTATCTATCTATCTATCTATCTATCTATCCATCATCCATCCATCCATCCATCCATCTATAACTGTCTGTCTGTCTGTCTATCTATATCTATCTATCTATCTATCTATCTATCTATCTACCTACCTACCTACCTACCTACCTATCTATCTTATCTATCTATCCCTATCTATCTCTATATATATCTATATCTATCACCATGCGGTAATTCTGGACAGCTTACAATATTAAGAAGATAAAACTATATCGATAAAATTCCTAAGCCTCTTTCTTTTTCCCTTTCTCTTTTGAAGCCCTTCAGGTCGTGTTTATAGGCGTTACAGGCAGTCCTGTAGCTATGACCCCAATTTACGTGGCTGAAGTTGCACCCAATTTTACGACTTTGACTGCTGCGGTTGTTAACACGTCGTCATTAAGGGGATCTGGCTCCCCTCATTGGGGGCTGAGAGAGCAGCTGAAATTTCCATATTTCTATCCGAAAGGCATAGAATTTAAAAAACCCTCCAAATTAGCTGGGCAGGAAAATCTCTACAGTATCATGACCAGGAACCTGAATTTTGAGGGATGATGGCTACTGTCACACAACTTGATTACAGTTTGATTCTTGAGTGTCTCTTTTTTTCCCCCCTCCTCCAGTATTCTCAAAAAGAGGACAAATATGAAGAGGAGATCAAGATTTTGACTGACAAACTCAAGGAGGTGAGTGACGCATCCGGCTGGGGGAGAGCCACCTAGGACTGAGGAGAAACTTCCTGACAGTGAGGACAATTTAACCAGCGGGACGGCTCGCCACTAGAAGTTGGGCGTGGAGGCTTTTTTAAAGAAGAGGCTGGGCGTTCCCTCGGTCTGAAATGGCATAAGGTCTCCTGCTTGAGCAGGGGGTTGGACTAGAAGGCCTCCAAAGGTCCATTCCAAGTCTGTTATTCCGTGTCGGAGGCAGGATCTTTGTCTTGAAGCACAGATGTGAGGTGAAGAGGTAAAACCCAAACATAACCAGCCTACCAATAAGCCAAAATCGAAATTGTTCGGCTTAGCGTGTTGGTTAGAGGCTTCCAGGAGATTCCCAATTTTTCTCCAGCCTCCGATTTCACGGTCTTTGAACTGTTTGGATCCCCTTAAAACGTCTTATCTACCTTTTTCAAGTAGGCAGCTGTTTGAGGTCACAGCTGCCACAACATCTTAGGGAGATCTTTATATATATCTATATATAATATAGATATTATATATTTTATATCTATCTATCTATCTATCTATCTATCTATCTATCTATCTATCTATCTATCTATCCATCCATCATCTATCATCTATCTATCTATCTATCTATCTATCTATCTATCTATCTATCTATCTATCTATCTATCTATCTATCTATCTATCTA